ACGTGAGGATTATTTTCTTTTCATTCTATTTTCTCTTTATTTATTGTTTTTACCATTTTTCATTACCTTGACATTTTACCATACTCAATATTAAACATCCATCATTACCATTGCATTTCCATTTACTACACCATCAAACCATCACTACATATCCACCAGCATACATATTTACATTACCTTGACATTTGTATATATCAAGACTAACTATACTTAGATAATTTAGTGCATTACTTTGGTTAGACTTTAGTAATTTCACCCAATCTCTGTGGAGACGATACTCACTCATCATTATATTACTTGAGCGATTGTGTATACTTGTACATTATTTGCGTATAATTTATAGTACTCACAACACGCGAACAATCGGCTTGTCATCAGTCATCTGGAATTTGAGCCATTCGCCGACAACGTACTTCTTGATTCCAGCATCGTCCGCACCATACTTTTTATCGAGAGTATCCCATATTGTCTTGGCACTCCTTTCTCTAAGGAACATGTCAAATAATTTATTTGGCATGTGACTGAGCAGATGTCCACGCACCGTTTTGTTGTCTTTCTCGTACCTCAAGAATTTTCTCTAAAAAGATAGTATCCGTGCGGACGTATCGAAGACACGTATTACCACGACCACGACCACGAGCACAAGCCGAGCCGAGACGAGACAGACGGCGGCGGCGACGATGCGCGAGAGTCCCCCTTGTTCTCTTTCACTCAACAAGGAAGTGGGAATTCCATACTATAAATACTCATTCCCAATAGTGTTTCCAATACTATGTGGAATTGAGCATTACCAACAATAAATTAATAAATTTAATCAAAAAATTATTAAAATGGTGTATAAAGCAATTTCAAAGTCTAAACTCCAAAGTAACAATCCACAAATTTATCAAACTAATAACATATTAAAATCAAATAACAATCCACAAATAAATCAAACTAACATATTAAAAACATTATTGAAAATAAAATTTAACGACATATAATCAATCATAAAAATAAAGAAATCAAACATCTCTTCGCTTCATTCATTGTTTCTTGCAATCACCAAACTATAAGTTATAAAAAAAAATTAGCGAGTTACTCACGAACTTATCGAGTCGAGTTAGACTTTATTCGACTTAACTCATTAAGATCTCGAGTCGAATTCGAGTTCTAGTCAAACTGCTTAACTTATCAAACTCCCCTACTTCTAGTTGTCCTCTAACTTCATCTATGTTAGAATGGGATTGCAAGAGGACTGAACTTTAAAGAATATATATAAATATAAAATAATATATTTTTATCATATTTACGTTGAATATATAATTATTTTATTTATAATCATTGAATTTGTATACTTTTTTACGCTTAAATTTATTAATATATTTATAAAATTATTAATACCTAAAATATAGTTGATACATTCAAATTATTTTTTTACAAACAATTTAGGCTTAAATTAAAAAGTACACTGATGTAGATAAGTATTGATAATTTTTTCACAATAAATAAGTATTGAAATGACCATCCAGCTCAGTTGATAGAGCACAAGGTTCTTAACCTTGAGGTCGTGGGATCGAGTCCCACAGAGGGTATTTCATAATTCGGAGGTCTCTTACGGAAGCTGCTCTCAACCTGGTGTTAGGGGTAGCCTACTATCTTACCTCCCCCTTACCCCATATATATGGGAAAAAGTGACAGCCATTTTTGTTGTGATCAAATGTTGTACAAATATAATTTATAGTTTGATATAAATTAATCATTTAAAAATATTTAGACATGCTATACTGATTTAAAAAATATGTAATTTAAATATTAATCTTATATTTATGTCAATAATTGATATTAATTATCTAAAAAATTTAAAACCTATATTTTATATATTAAAATATTACTAATTAATGAGTTTTCATGATTTTATTATAATTTAAATCAAGTTATTTTATATATCATAATATTAATAAAATTAAATATCACTTGAATTAATTTACTTATACTTTACAATATAATGTTTTAAATAAATATTTTAAGGAACAATGACTCTTGAATGTTGTTAAACTACTTGGACATAGAAATATCTCTAGATATATATATATATATATATATATTATATTTTGCTAGTATATATAGAATATATTTTCAATAACAATATCATCAAAAGGATTGTTTACATGTTTATTAATATAATAAGCAAATACATACATACAATGGGCAACATGAGAGAAGAAAGCAAAATATGTAAGACGAAAACAGATTGGATTGGATCTATACATTAATGTAATGACTGCTGTGTCATGTGAGCAAGTAGCTTTGAATATATACTAGTATTTTATTATCTGGATCCTTTTGAAGTTTTGGTCCACCGGTACACCTCTTCCACTTCTCATTTCTCGGACAAAGCGAACTTGGAACAGGCTGCAAACTGCTTAGCTTTGCACCCCTCATATTTCAGCACATCAATCACTAAGCATCGGATTCAAGCTACTATTGTAGTAAACATACACATATTTAGGCTATGGAAAAACCTAATTAATGCACTATTATTACTAGGGTTATAAATGAGTCAAATCGATTTGAAAATTTTATAACTCATTCGATTCAAAAATTCACATGTTTAAAATTGTTAAGTTCAACTCAAATTCAAAATTAAAGTTTGACTCAACTCAAAAAAAAATTGAATTCTGAACATTCTCATATTTAGCTCGATTAAAGCTTAAACTCGAATTTAAACCTGAACATTTTAAGTACGTGAAAGCTTTATATTGCATTTAACAAAAAACATATAAATTTTAATGTTATTCATACTTTAATTTAAACAATAAAATATTTTAATATATTATTTTTAAAACTGTTCATGAGTTTTTCGAGTCATGTATCAAGTAGCTCACTTTGACTCATTAAGAACTCGAATCGAGTTCGAACTCGGATCAAATTTATTCTATTTGAATGTTGATCGAGTCGAACTAAAATAACTCGGGATATGTATCATCTCATTTGCAGTACTAAGTATTACTACAAGGATATCAAGTAAAATTAGCCCTGAAATGAATATGAAAAAAGAGAGAGAGAAACGGCGTGGTTGATAAATTTGGCAAAAAGAGGGTATGTGGGGGACTATAGGAGGGGCAGCATCAGCCAATGCAGCAATATAGTCTCTAAGCCTGCACTAGCATTTGATGACATTTTTGGCAATATTTTGAGCTAAAGATATATACATGCTCTGCCATGAAAATATTCATCCTCATCTCTCCATATCTGCAAATATTATGGCTTGACCACAATGATATCACTCTCCTCTACTATAATATAATACCATGTATTCATGTATACCAATAATAATAAGAAAACAAATTATACAGGGTGATATTTGTTTGTGAACCGTCAGATTTAAGGTCTAGAGTTTGCAGAGCACGATATCGAGGCTTGAGACTTGATGAAGGTACTTGAAGACGTTAATGAGTTTTTGAGCTGTAGCAGTGAAGACAAATGCTAAGCACGTGCATATAAAAAAGCAACCCTTAGCATTTAATCTATATCCCTTTTCATTGTACAGTAGTAATATACAGGTAAGGTATATCAGTATATGTTACAAAAAGAAGAAAAAGACATTTTTTGTTTATGAGTTAATTGCAGTAGATATTCCTATATTAATAACTGAATTTTAAATTAATCTCTAAACTTTATAATATTCTGATTAAATCCTCAAAGTAAAGTGTGGTTCCAATCAAGTTTAATGCTAAAGCTGAGGTTATAATAACAAAAAGGCTTAATATAAAAAAGTGTCTAAATTAGGTGCCTAAACTTTTTTTTCGGTCACTGTATGTACCTAAAGTTACAAACATTACCATTTGAAGTGTCTCGACCGTAACGGACGTTAAAAAAATCATTAAATAACATGTATCACATTTATATTTATTTGAAAAATTAATTTTCCAAAAAACATAAAATTAATATTTTTTTATTTTAAATTTTAAAATCTAAAAAATAACTCCAAATTCTTAAAATCTCTTATTCTAATCCCTTTTACTCCAATTGTCGGTCATCTCCGACCACCCATCCGTCGGAGTAAGGTCACTCATACGTCGCCGATCACCCACCGACTAACCATAACCCATTCTATAATCTCAAAATAAAAAATTCTCAAATCCCTAAAATCTCAAAAACCCACTCCTTAAATCCTAATAATAATTGTCGACCACCTTTAATCTGGAATATAAAGTTACCGACCTTAACTGCCGGCCACCATTACTTTTTGATTGAAATGTACTTTAGTCACAAGATTTCAATTGAAATGTTTTAAAGTTTAGATATTATAATTTGATATTTGGGCCATAGTTTGAGGACTTATAGTGAAATTAACTCTTTACCTTTTGCAAAATGTTTTTGAGGGCAAAAGAGATAGCATATAGGGTTACGTCTTGTCTCGTAGACTGGCCATTTAGGGTTTGAGTAGTAGCATTCCAAACCTCCTTTTTTAACTGTCATAGTTTATCTTGTTTTGTTTGGTTAACATGAAGTCACGTGAATGCCTCTCTGGCCTCTTCTTGCCCCCCCCCCCCCTTTAAGTCCTTCACAATTCCTTTATAAAGACCCTTAAACTCCATTAACTAGGACCATTTGCACTTATCCCACTGCCTTAGACTAATTCTCTCTCTCTCTCTCTTATCTTGGCAATGACACCACTCTATGATCTTAACCCACCACCAACCCCAAATTTCCCCTTTGTGGAGCTAAAAGAGGAACCCCATGATCTTCAACTCTTTCTCTCGGTACCCGAACAACAAGCAACTTCTCACAAGGCAAGAATCCTAACAAAAGTGTTCCTTTTAATTGTGTTTCAATAATCCACCCTTAGGTTTTTTTTTGGTCCGACAGCAAAACTTCACCTTTTTTATCCTCATGTTATGGTGTTTTTCGTATTTGTGTTTGCATTTTATGTGATTTTGATAGTTTTACGTTGATTTGGGTACCTTTTGGTACATGCAATTTATGTGGATGTAAACGTTTGATGATCTTATCTCTTTGATTATTGTATTTCTTTAGGTTAAAAAGTATGATTGTGGATCAAGCGAACAACAAGCAAGTTCGTCATCATCTTCTTCACTTCAATCAACGGTGGATCACAGGACAATCAGTGGCCGAATTTCATCCTTTGGGGATTATGAAAGTGCAGGAGAAAAAAATGGGATATCAGTGAGATGGATGTCTTCAAAAATGAGGCAGATGAAGAAGATGATGAACTCCAACTGCAGCAATGGATCAACAGATCACCGTAAAGCAATGAAATTTACAGACAAGCTTCGTCGAGTGCATGATACCGGCGAAACCGACTACTCTTTGGGTAAAGCCAATAACAACGCCATTAGAGTCTGCTCCGACTGTAACACAACGACGACACCTCTTTGGAGAAGTGGCCCTCGAGGTCCCAAAGTAAGTTTACTATATAAGTCAGGTCAAATTCAGTCATTTTTAATCCAATATTTTTTAAATTTTAAAATTTCGATTCTGACTAGAACAATAGTCATTGAATCTACAATGTTAAAATATGCTATTAATCCATGTTTTAAGCTCCAATTCGAATATTCTAAGTCAATGTAATTTTATTTTATTGTCATTGTATTATTTATATCATGACTGAAAGTTATAAATTTGAAAAATACAGTTTCTAAATTGATTAAATTATAATATAGAGACTAAATACACAATTTATGCACAATACATTGACTAATAAGATAATTTGATATGTAACCTATGTATATGATTAATTATGGTCAAATTATGGTTATGATCCTCATCCTAAGTTCAACTCGAATGCTTAGTAGACAATTTTTAACAGTGTTGATGGTTTGAGATATAGCATAACAGTAGTAGAACCAGATTATAGGGACTAAATCCAAAAACTGAGCATAGTACAAGGATGAAAATCAGGAAATTAATAAAGATGTGAAAACTTTTGTGCAGTCTCTTTGCAATGCTTGTGGGATTCGACAACGGAAGGCAAGGCGAGCAATGGAAACGGCTGCGGCGGAAACCGGTGCGGGAGTTGCAACCGATGCAGCAATATCGCTGAAGATTAAGGTGCAGAACAACAAGGAAAAGAAATCACGAATTGGGCAATTCAGAAAACAACTATTCAAGTCACCTTCGGATCATAATTCTCCTTATAATCATCAACAAAGCCAAAAGAAGCTTTGCGTCAAGGAATTTGCTTTGAGTTTGAGCAAGAACTCAGCTTTGCAGCGTGTGTTTTCTCAGGACGTTGAAGATGCTGCGATTCTCCTAATGGAGCTCTCTTGTGGACTTGTTCATGGTTGAATTGATGTTTTGGTCCCTAAATAAATTTTATTATGAAGTAGTTTTGGTTTGTTTTGTGTGACCCAAGGGATAGAGATTAAAGAGTGATTATTTCTATTTATGTATCCTAATCAAAATGATTCCCATCTTATATGAAATAATGAAAATTTATAACATCTTATTTATTTTATTTATACTATACTTATAAATATTTATATTTGATTATTTTGTATTTAAGAATATATATTTATTTACTATCCATTTTTTGTTATTAATGAACATATTCTTAATTTATATATATATTGCATGAGTAAGCAATCTTAGTGGTTAAAGGGACGATTATTATCTTTAGAAGCCTCAGATTCGAGCACTGCGAAGGTGTTTGAGCTTTCATTGTCAAATAGTTAAAATTTTTTTAGAACAAATTCTAACCCTAGACTAATTTGAACTTATATATTTTTTAATTTGGGTGAATTGTGTCATATTTATATTATTTTATAATTACATATAAATAATAAAATATATTTTATATTTTAATTATTATTATCATATAATTAGAGATGTGTATGAGTTGGGTTGGATTAGATTTCTAACCAACTCTATCCAATAAATGAAATATCCGACCTAATAAAAACACATTCTTCACTTAGATTCAGTTCAAAATTTAAGATACTCCATTCAGCCCGAACCATAAACGAAATATCTCCGCATGTAGTATATACCCATGTGCTTTAATTATGATATCATGTTATACCTAAATTGTTTTTCTTTAATGAAGCATCACCATTTCCTTTTCACGTTCACTTCATTCGTGTTAGGTAAGATCACTTCAACTCACCTTTCCTAAGCAGTTGATGTAATTTTCAGAAGCCACTAGTAATTAGATTATATTGAAAGTTAGATTATGAAAAATATTCGTACAATATGGAATTAAATTTCAAATATATATATATATATATATATAATATAAAATGTTCTAATATTTTTTTTAAAAGATAGATTGTTACATTTTCAAAGATCACTTTCGAAAATTTTTAGCTTTTTGTCGATTAAAATTTTCGGATAGACTCCTTCATTTATCAAAGTTTTAAAGAATTTATATCCTTCAGACACAAAAATATCATAACTTCTGGTCAAGCTACAGTATACAAACAAGACTTCTCAACCCACGTAATTTATTAGAGTAAAATTTAAAATATAACAATAAAATTTATTTACGATGTTCTTATCAGTTCGGTCGCACGTACTGTTACAACTTCATATCCATCCATCATTTTTTCCAAATATACCCTTCACCAAATCTATGGATCTCTTTCGTTCCTAGACCAGAAGGGGAGTTTCACATCCATATTTTTTTATAAAATTTCCCACTAATAGTAATCAGAGAAAAAAAATAAAAATAAAGTTAAATTTCAAATTTTTTATGAATTTTTCTATACATGTTTAATTATCTATATTTAAAATTTATATTTAGCAAAAAAATTATAGTTCTTTTTTAAAACTGTTATTTTTAAAATTCAAACATATATTAAAATTTATTTAAAATTATATCGGTCACACCAAAAACGCATTTGAAAAGAATATTTCTAAGCAAATATTCATTTGATAAAACCTTTTACCTACAATAATCATATTTATATTTGGTTTAGAGTAAACTATTTCAAAATCCCACTCGATTTTAAGTTTAATATTAATGATAAATTTTTATTTATTTTTAAAGATTAAAAGTCACATTAATAAAAAAAATTATAAACGCAAATCTTTTTATGTTTTTTAAATCAATAATTATTAGTAAAAATGAAAGTTTAAGAGAGATCTAGATTTTATAATAAAAAATAATACAGAGACCCGATCCTAAAAAAGTAAATTAATTACAAATTTTAGTGATAATAACTAATAGTCCATTATACACAGTAATAGAATTATGGGATTGATATATTTCAGAATGGTAGGGGCTAAAACTGAAATTATACCATCGTTATTATGATTTATAGTGCAGGTAGACACAAGTGAGAGAGGTGGAGACTGAGGAGAAATCATGAATTGAGGATAATGAGAGTGTGAAGCATAGATTGCCAGCGCACCATCTCCAAGCTTCATCCAAAAACCAAAAAAATACAAATTAAAAAAGGGATTATAGTTTGCTTGAGTTTTGTTTGAGCAGAGATGTTGCAGTGAATTGTGATCCATTGAATCTCAATCTTTTTTCCTGCAATTTCTTCCATTCATTTTCGTTCGGAGATTTGTGATTTTTTTCCCTTTCAATTTTCATATTGGAATCTGACGTGTTATAGCTTCAAAGAGATGTCTTTTTTCTCATAGATGCAGAGTCATCCATCATATACACCAGTATACACCTTGAAGCCCACAAGATTCTTAATTTTTCCCATAAAATATGATTTTTTTTGTTGTTGTAATTTTCAAATACCCTTTGATTATTTAAGCACAACAGTGGATATATAGAGACGAAATAATTTACTGAAGATTCCACCAACCCACTTCCCCATTCTCTTTCATGAAATAAAAATTGAACCTTTTAAGTTTATTTTTTCTCCATTTCTCAACAACCCCAAATTCCTTTCTTTGTTCTTCCTTGCATTTCCATTACCTGGACTCTTTCATGGAGAGGGCAAGGAGGTTGGCTAACAGGGCAATCCTGAAACGCTTGGTGAATGAAGCCAAGCAATCACACAATGGTGAAATAAGCTCTAGATCACATGTTTTGTACACTCCTTCAAGGTATGTGTCTTCACTGTCACCATTTGGTTCTAAAGTTTACAAAAGATCAGATTTGTTAGACGCTAGGAATGTTTCAAACAATTTTGGGTCACAAATTCGATCCATATCTGTTGATGCATTGAAATCGAGTGATACTTTTCCCCCCCGCCATAACTCTGCTACCCCTGAAGAGCAGACCAAAATGGCTAAATCATGTGGATTTGATAGCCTGGATTCCCTTATTGATGCAACCGTGCCTAAAGCTATACGTATAGATTCCATGAAGTTTTCAAAGTTTGATGGAGGGTTAACCGAGAAACAAATGATTGCGCACATGAAAGATTTGGAATCAAAGAACAAGGTGTTCAAGTCTTTCATTGGAATGGGTTATTATAACACTCATGTTCCTCCTGTGATTTTGAGAAACATAATGGAAAATCCAGCTTGGTACACTCAATACACTCCTTACCAAGCTGAGATATCTCAAGGGAGGCTTGAGTCTTTGCTTAATTACCAGACTATGATTACCGATCTCACCGGTTTGCCTATGTTGAATGCTTCGCTGCTCGATGAGGGAACTGCCGCTGCTGAGGCTATGGCCATGTGTAACAACGTACTGAAAGGAAAGAAAAATACTTTAATCATTGCTAATAATTGTCACCCTCAGACGATCGATATTTGTAAGACAAGAGCTGGTGGTTTTGATCTTAAAGTGGTTACTGCAGATTTTAAGGATATTGATTACAGTTCTGGTGATGTTTGTGGGGTTTTAGTTCAGTATCCGGGTACCGAGGGCGAGATTTTGGACTATGGAGAGTTTGTTAAGAATGCTCATGCTCAGGGTGTTAAGGTTGTCATGGCAACCGATTTGTTGGCGTTGACAGTGTTGAAGCCCCCAGGTGAACTTGGAGCAGATATTGTTGTTGGCTCGGCACAGAGGTTTGGTGTGCCGATGAGGTACGGTGGCCCTCATGCTGCGTTTTTGGCTACTTCCCAAGAGTATAAGAGGTTGATGCCAGGAAGAATCATCGGTGTTAGTGTTGATTCTTCTGGGAAGCCTGCTTTGCGTATGGCAATGCAAACCAGGGAGCAACATATTCGCAGAGATAAAGCTACCAGTAACATCTGCACAGCTCAAGTAAGAGACTCGTCGTTAATGTGTGATTCATGTTCATAATACATATTTCTGTTCGGATTTGAATGAACTGTTTTCACCTTGTTTGATTCAATATATTGTTTTATCTAGGCATTATTAGCAAACATGGCTGCTATGTATGCGGTTTATCATGGACCCGAGGGCCTAAAAGCCATTGCACAACGTGTTCATGGTCTTGCTGGGGTGTTTGCTTCGGGACTGAAAAAATTTGCACTGTGGACGTCCAGGACCTTCCCTTCTTTGATACTGTGAAGGTTACATGTGCTGATGCCCACTCAATTGCTGATGCTGCATACAAGAGTGGGATTAACCTTCGGGTTGTTGATGCCAAAACCGTGAGTGTGATTTTGTCTATGGGTTATTGGTCAAAATATTATTATATATCGTGTGATTACTGGGGCATGGTTGATTTGCAGATCACTGTTTCATTTGATGAAACGACGACTTTGGAAGATGTGGACAAGCTTTTCAAAGTATTTTCCAGTGGAAAACCAGTAAGTGCTAGTAACCTTTTTCATAATAATAATGTCCACATTTGTATTATTTTGCCTTTTTAACCTTCATCTAACTTTCAGGTCTCATTCACTGCTGCATCTCTTGCACCTGAGGTTGAGACTGCAATTCCTTCCAGACTAGAACAACAAAGCCCATATCTTACACACTCGATATTTAACACGTATGGAACGGTCATAAAAAGACGAGCTACTTGTAGCAAACAAATGAAATGTGTTACCCTAACTATTATTTGTTTTCTTTTCAGGTATCACACAGAGCACGAGTTGCTTCGATACATTCACAGGCTACAGTCTAAGGATCTTTCACTATGTCATAGTATGATTCCATTGGGATCTTGTACGATGAAACTAAATGCAACAGTTGAAATGATGCCTGTGACTTGGCCTGGTTTCACCGATATCCACCCTTTTGCACCTCCAGAACAGGCTCAGGGTTATCAGGTGAACATCTCTTCCCCTGGAACTTGTTGATACCTTTTGTTTTTAATCTCTTGTAGTAAAGAGTAAATTTAGATCTCTAGTTTATTGAAGATTTATGACTTTCTGTTCTATTAGGAAATGTTCAATAATTTGGGTGAACTATTATGTACCATCACCGGCTTTGACTCATTCTCGTTGCAACCTAATGCCGGTGCTGC